CCTGCTCACCGCCCCCCACCCCCGCGCCACCGTGGAGACGCGTGCGGTCTCAGGGCGCCCCTGGCCGGGCTGCTAGTTGTGGTTCATTAGCGCTCAATTAGATGACACTCACCTGATGGGGAGGCCCCATTCCGCCCCCAGCGGACCCCAAAGAGGCCTCCCCCTCCGCACCTTGAACCCCTCCTCCTGGAGCCCCGGATGGCGAAGGCAGGCCTGCGGGGGGCGTGGTGTTTGTGCCCGCTTGGACAGTGGGTCGGGACCCCAAAGGACCAGACCTTGTTAACTGAAGGGTAAGCCCGGCTGGCTCCCTCTGTGCACAAGGCAGGTGTATCAAGCCCCCTCCGCCGCCCCCAACCTCTGTCCTCCCCAGGCCCCCACCCCAGTAGCGCTGTGCAGAGGCCTCTCTGGACGTGCCAAGCTGACCCCTGCCTGAGGAGGCCTTACCTGACCATCTCCATATCCTATCAGCTTTGCCGCACTGTTCTAACCTGGAGAGTTCACATGAGAATCAGGATACTCCAATCCTCTTGAAAAACCCAAAGACCTGGTCTTGGAGAGCTGTTCCTGGGGTAGAGTCTGGGAATAGCCTCACTGGAGGGGGACACAGATGTCTTCCCTCCCTACCGTCTCCATGCTCACCTGGCCCCCCCCTTGTTCCATTTTGGATACTTTCTGGCCCCACAGGCAGTGGAGTTTGGGGCTTCTCCTCCAGGCCTCTGAAAAGCGCCTCTCTCTGGGAGCTTGCCTCCAGACTGGGTGCTCCAGAGGACAGAGGGCCACCTCTCAGCTTCACCCCCAGACTGGGTGCTCCAGAGGACAGAGGGCCACCTCTGCCTCTTCGGGGGAACAAGTGCAACAGGAGCCCATCTTTGGAGGCAGAAAATTCTGGATTCACCATGGCCTCTTCCAGTTGGGTAACGAGGCAAATTATTACCTAGCATGTGTGGAACAGGGACCGCATGCTGCATGTCAGGAGTTGAAGGGTAAGTGAGCATCCCCCCTCTGGCCTGGCAGGTGTGCACCTTCACCTCCCCTGGGAGGGCTGAGCTGTCTCTGCCTCCTCCTTCCTCCCGGGAGACCTCACACCCAGACCATCCAGATGATCCACTCACTCCTTAAATCTTGAACCTCTCTCTCTCCGCTGGCTTCTTGCCAAGAGCGTTTGTTCATCCTTACAGCTCTCCCGTCTTAAAAACCAGGCAGCCCCTTCTCTCTCCTGCCCCCATGGCGGAACTTCCTGGAAAGATGCCCCATTGCAATCTGTCCATATCTCCGTCTACCTGTCCCTCCTTCCCCCTCTCCAGCTTGGCCTGGGCCCCATCACTCCACCTGGACAGCTCCCTCTCATGTCACCAGTGAAGTGACCTCCCTGTCACTAAATCTCTCATGCTATCCCACCTCTGGGAGGCTTTGGACACTTCTCCGGTGGCTGCTGAGAGGGACCACCCTTGGTTCCCACTTCCTCTGGGTCTGCCTCCTCTCTGATTCCTCCACAGACTCTGCTTCCTTTATATAATCAAAACCTGCATAAGTTGTCTTCCCACATCAACAGCTCCATCCGGAAGAGTCTTTCTCCTGTCCATGACTGAGTGCCTCACAAACAGTGGCCACCCTTTTTCTTCCTCTTTGTCCCTTTAACTTTGATCCAGGTAATACACAAAGTGAACTGAGTCAGTCAAATTGTTCTAGGAGGGTTTAGCAACAACAAAAATCTTTTCATTTCCAAGTCCACTTTCTTCTGATATTTTTTGCCATTTTTTTTTTTTAAGTTTAAAAACATTTATTTATAGGGGAACCTGGGTGGCTCAGTTGGTTGAGCGTCCAACTTCAGCTCAGGTCATGATCTCATGGCTTATGAGTTCAAGCCCCGCATCCGGCTCTGTGCTGACAGCTCAGAGCCTGGAGCCTGCTTTGGATTCTGTGTCTCCCTCTTTCTCTGCCCCTAACTCACTCACATTCTGTCTCTTTTTCTCTCAAAAATTATTTCTCTGCCCCTAACTCACTCACATTCTGTCTCTTTCTCTCTCAAAAAATTATTTATTTTTGAGAGGGAGAGCAAGCTAGAGAGGGGCAGAGAGAGAAGGAGACACAGAATTGGAAGCAGGCTCCAGGCTCTGAGCTGTCGGCACAGAGCCTGACACGGGGCTCGAACTCACGAACTGCGAGATCATGACCTGAGCTGAAGTCAGATGCTTAACGAACGGAGCCACCCAGGCGCCCTTCGCCATATTTCTAAATACCATGCTCATAGTGCTATTACTTGGTTTTTCCATTTTAGGTAGTATCTATGGACAGCCTACTTTGGAGGATGCAGATTTAACTCTTTAAGCCACACATACATATGTCCATGTCCTGCCCACAATAATTTGTCTGGTCTTTATCCAGTTTTCTGGGAGAGAACTTCCACACTCTTGGAGTTTCTCCAGTGACAGGAATGTCTTTGTTATTCAGGGGTTGGGGGCTGGATTAGCTTCAGGTTGGGGTCTGGCCACACCAAAAAGACCAACCATATGATTACAGGGTTGGGGCTCTGAGCTGGTGATGTCAACCCAACCTCTGGGGCTAGAGATTGAGGTCAGTCACATGGCCAGTGATTTGATCAACATATGAATGTAATGAAACACCAATAAAAACTATGGACACCAAGACTCAGGTGAGCCTCCTGGTTGGTGACGGGTGCTCTGTTTCCAGAAAGAGGACACAGAAGCTCTACCTTCCGGACTCTCCCAGACTTTGGATGTCTTCAGGAACCAGTGCTGGTCCGTCTTTCTATCCTTTGTAGTAAAACTGCAATTATAAGTATAGCATTTACTGGAATTCTTTGAGTTGATCTAGTTAATTATTGTCCAACCTGAGTAGGTCAAAGGAATTTGTAGCCAGTTGGTCAGAAGTACTGGGGGTCTGGGGACCCCTGAACTTGCAGCTGACCTCTACAGTGGGGGCAGTCCTGCTGGGAGTGATGCTCTTAACTTGTGGAGTCTGGAGGGACCCTAGTGGTCAGCTGTGGAACTGCAGGGCAAGACTGCACCTGTCCATATGGTTTTATGACAGTTTGGGGGTAAATCCACATTGACTGTTTCCCTAAGTACATCTCTGTAAATATCTTTCACTGCTGAGCCCAGTGATACTATTTCCTTCTTGTACAACCCTTAGTTCTTCCTGGACTTAATCTCTCATCTTTTTTTTTTTCTTTTTAAATTTTGCTTTGATTCACTTTTAGAATCTCCTGAAAAGTCTTTTCACATGCTTTTATGGCTCAGTAAATGCCTGTGAACCCAACTTTACACCTGGTCAAACTATTCAGAAAATCTGTTTGTTTCATTTCATTTGTCTGTTTCCAGACATCCCTCTGGAGCCTCCTTCCATTGGACCCAAATTGGGCAGTTTGCCCTGCAGAGTGCTGGTGTCAGCCCGGAGTCCAGTGTCATCATCTGGGACTTTGCCTCTCTCTCTCTCTCTCTCTCTCTCTCTCTCTCTCTCT